GCCCGTGGGTTCGAGACCCACCTGGGCAACTTGACAAGACCTCATCTCTACAACAAATCAAAAATTAGCCGGGCGTGGTAGCGCGCACCTGTAGTTCCAGCTACTTGGAAAGCTGAGACGGAAGGATCGCCGGAGCCCAGTAGGTCGAGGCTGCGGTGGCCGGGAGCGGCCATTGCACTCCAGTCTGGGCAACAGAGTGAGACTCCAACTCAAAAAAAAAATAAAGAAAAGAAAAAAATCTCCCAGAGCCCAGGGAGATACAGGCACAGTTAAGAGTTCCAGCAAACTTCAGTGACTCAGCCTGTAATTCCAGCACTTTGGGAGACCAAGGCGAGTGGATTGCCTGAGCCTGTGGGTTCAAGACCAGCCCAGGCAACTTGGCAAGACCTCGTCTCTACAATAAATAAAAAATTAGCTGTCGAGGTAACTCACAACTGTAGTTCTGGCTACCTGGAAGGTTGAGGCAGAAGGATCGCCAGAGCCCAGCAGGTCGACACTGGAATGGCCGTGAGTGTGTCACTGCACTCCAACCTGGGCAAAAAAGTGAGACTCCAACTCAAAAAAAAAAAAAAGTCCAGCAAACAAACACCTTAGCATTACCTTGAGCCTTGGAGGTGAGTCACAGTTAAATAGTCTCACTAGTGAGTCCAGTCCGAAAAAGAGGGACCTTTGCTCCTCACCCTACCAGGAAGGGCGGAAATCACACCCAAAGGCTGATCAACACATCACAGGCTGCTGGGAATTCTGACCTTGGTTCACTCTTGCAATACATTCAGGTGTTAACTCTGGTCTTAAGGAGGTGAGAGGCAGCCCTTGGAAAAGTTTCTTCTCAGAGCTCTGCTACTCAAAGTCCCAGATCCTTGTTTCAGATTCTGTTCTCTGCACTGTAGACATCTTTTCAAAATGTAAGTTTGCCACCTCACACTCATTAGGATGGCTACATGTTACCAAAAAAAAAGAAAGAAAGAAAGAAAGAAAGCCAGGTGTAGTGTCTCACACCTGTAATCCCAGCATTTTGAGAAATCGAGGTAAGAGTATTGCTTGAGCCCAGGAGTTCAAGGTCAGCCTAGGCAACATTGTGAAACCTTATCGCTAAGAAAAATACAAAATTTTAAAAATTAGCCAGGTGTGGTGGCGTAGGACTGTAGCCCCAGCTAACTCAGGAGGTAAGGCAGAGGGATCACCTGAGCCCAGAAGGTTGAGGCCGCAATGAGTCGTGATCATGTCACTGCACTGAAGCCTGGGTGACAGAATGAGACTCCAACTAAAAAATAAAACAAAAAAGCCAGGCATGGTGGCTCGCGCCTATAATCCCAGCACTTTGGGAGGTGGAGGTGAGAGAATTGTCTGAGCTCAGGGGTTCGAGAGCAGCCTGGGCAACGTGGCGAGATCTCATCTCTACAATAAATTAAAAAATTAGCCAGGTATAATGGCTCATGCCTGTAATTCCAGCTACTTGGAAGACTGAGGCAGAAGGATTGCCTGGGTTCAGCAGGTTGAGGTTGTGGTGGCTGTGAGCATGTCACTGCACTCCAGCCTGGGTGACAGAGTAAGGCTCTGACTCTAAATAAATAAATTAAAAAAACCAAAAAATAAAAAAGAAGGAAAAGAACAGCTGTTGGCTAGAATGTGGGTAAGCTGGAACCCTTGTGCATGAGGAGAAATACATCGTGGTATGTCCTTGTACCGTGGAATAGCCCATAGCAGTAAAAAGAATTTAGAATATGGGAAGCATTAAGGAACCTCACAGCTGAGTGAAGAAGCCAGATGCAAACAAGCATGTGCTATTGTGATCCCACTTATGTTAAGTCCTGCAGTGGGTCCCTAATAGCAGTGACCCTAGGGGATCACTGATGGGGGCGGGGCACAGAGTCTTCTGGGTCTATGCATTTTTGGTGGGAATAGAAAAAGCTGTTACCACCTAGCTGTTCCTCAGAAAACTAAACACATAACTACTATGTGATCCAGCAATTCTGCCTCTGGAATATACCCCCAATCGTTGAAAGCAGGAACTCAAAGAGATAGGTTTAGACTTCCCATGACCTTATGTTCATGGCAGCATTGTTAACGAAAGCCAAAAGGTGAAGGCAACGTCAGTATCCAGCAGTAAGTGAGTGGATACACGAGATGTGGTATAACTATACACTTTAACCTTCAAAAGGAAGGACATTCTAACTCATGCTTACAACATGGATGAACTTTGAGGACATTGCGCTCAGTGAAATAAGCCAGTCACAAAAAGACAAATGCTGTATGATGCCACTTATATAAGATACTTAGCCAAAATCAAAGGGAAGAAAATAGAATGGTGGTTCTCAGGGGCTGGTGGGAGTAGGGTATGAGAAGTTAGTGTTTATTGGGTATAGAGTTTCGGTTTTGCAAGGTGAACAGAGTTCTGTGAGTGGACGGGCGTGATGGTTGCATAACACTGTGAATGTACTTAACACTGTTGAAGTGTACACCTAAATTTGGTTAAGATGGTACATTTTATGATATGTGTGTTTACCACAATTAATATTTTAAAAAATGTGTCTGATGGTCTCGATGAGTCAGACCAAAAATCCACCACTTCCAAGTTCTTGTTCTGTTTTCTCCCCCCGGGCCTTACCTATGGTGCTTCCTGTCAGGGTGTTGAGGGCAGGCTGGTCTCTCTGCTTGAGAGATGCTATGATTTGATATGATTTGAAATTTAATTGCCAATATAATGGTATTGGGAGGTGGGACCTTTAACAGGTGATTAGGTCATTAAGATAGAAAGACTAATGTCTTGAGACTGCATGAGTTGTGGAGGGAATGGGTTAGTTCTCATGAGAGTGGGTTGTTATAGAGTAAGGCAGCCTCCTTTGTGCCCTCTCTCTCTGGCACAACACACTTTTCTACCATGTTAGGATGAAGCACAAGGCCCTTACCAGAAGCCAACCAGATGAGGCTGTCCAGACTTGGACTTCCCAGCCTCTAGAACTAAAATAAACCTCTTTTCTTTATAACTTACCCAGGTCAGGTATTCTTTTAGGGCAATAGAAAATGGATTAAGATAAGATGATTGAGAATTCTAAGAAAGAATGGAAGACCTGATGCAGAGAGGAAATGCAGGCATGAAAGACTATGAAAAGAGGGCAGAGGCAACACCACAGGTCAGGAAGGCAAGAGTGTAAAACCCTGCAGAGAGGATCTTCAGGGAACTAAGTCTTCCCATGGTTAAGGAGAAGGGCTGGTTCACAGCTGAGATGGTGCAGAAGAACAGTAACTGGATAACTTTCTAGGCGGGAAGACCAGGAAGGCCAAATTCTGGAGCTAAAAATGTGGCCAGGAATGGACAGAAAATATCTGGAGTGCAGAGAGAGGAAGAGCACAGGAAATAGAGCTAATGGAGGCAGACCAGCTCTTACAGGGACTGGCAGGCTATGAGAGTCCAAACTTTATACATAATGGGAAGCCTTGAGAGGATGGTAATTTTTTCAG